TACCTTGGTGCGTTTGAACACAAGTCCTTGCGGGACGTTGACACTGCCGACGATCATGTGGATTACATATCGTGGTTCTTCCTACTCATTTTTTCTTGCATCTCTCTCTATGAAGTGGTTCTTGGCTCAATCACTTAGAAATTCTCGAAGATGACCCTCGTTGAACAACCGAGCCACTTCTTCCCTTAGCTGCCTGCAATCTTCTGTTCTATGACCATGTGTGCCATGATACTTGCACATCAAGTTTGGGTTCCTTTGAGAAGGATCGGTTTGTATAGGCCTGGGCCACTTGGTGTCTTTGATTCTTCCAATAGCTGACACAATCCCCGATGCGTCTACGCTGAAATTATACTCTGATAATCGAGGTGCCTCCGTGGGACCGGTATGTTTATCGAACCCGCTCTTTCTCATCAGTCCCCGAGAGATTTGTCCTCGATCGTTTCTTCAATCATTCCGAGGAGCATTACGACCCGAACCGTTATTTCTCCGATCGATATATGGTTGATGCCGTTCTTTGTTTGACCTCGATTCCCTATCTGTATCCCTCGGGGGCCTAGCTGCCAATCTGTTAGGATGAATTGAACCCGAGGGGGCTCCCAACTGGTCGTCCTCGACCCTAATCTTCGATTGATAACGGTTATGCACATCGTACCACGTCACGACTGGATACTCGATCAGATTCTGCTTTAGCTGCCGAGACACAATTGAACTCCTTTCATTCAAGCAATGCATAAGCTTGTACTGCCCAATCATCCGAGACTGGTGGTAACCCATTCGCTCCATCTGGAACCTGGACACAAACTCCCTCAACATCTCGTTGTTTCTTTATTTTATCTTGAAGACGTCCGATTTCCTCGTGTCCACCTTTATGGCCCTGGCGTGTGCTTTCACAAAGGCGTCTGCTAACATAGCAAATGAATCAATAGACTTAGGAGGTAAGTTGTGATACATAATCATATCTACTTTCGACAATGTTTCTCCAAACTTTTTCAACAACACAGACTCGATCTCATCATCATTAAGGTCGTTTCCTTTAATCCCACAAGTGTATGAAGTAATATGCTCGTTAGGGTCGGTTGTCCCGTTATATTTGGGTATATCGGGCATGCAGAACTTTTTTGGGATGGGCATCGGAGCTGCGCTCTGAGGGAATGGTTTTTGTATGAATGTTTTTGCATCTAAACCTTTCAAAACTTGAGGTGCCCCTGGTATCTGGTCACACGGGAGTTATAAGTCTCCACCTTCTTATCATTGTCCTCAATCTTCGTTTCCCCAGACTCGATCCTCTTGGTGAGCTCTTCGAGCATCCTCATAATGGCGAGGTCAGTCCCCAAGTCATTTACATTCGACCTTTCGGGCGCTGGTTCAGCTCGTCGAGCGTTTTCTGGTTCAGCTATACTCGGAGTTTTATTCTGACTTTGAAGTTGAGCGATGGCGATCTGCTGAGCTTGCAGCATCTTGAATATCACTTGGAGGCTGACTCCCTCATCTCCTATACCTGGTATTCCTTGGCCCCCAGATTGGGCTTCTCGTACACTCCCTCCGGGGTCTGCGCCTAGATCTGCATTTAAAGCAATATGCGAACAAAGGTCAACTGGTTCCAGATTTGGCACTTCCCCAGGTTTTATTGGTGGTACACCGACCCCTGCATTGTTGTTTTCCCATGAAATCCAAGACCTTCGTTGTCATGAACAAGTGTATTTTGCGAGTTTGACATGTTTAATCCTGAGAATCAGAAAATCTTGACAAGAAAAAAGTGTAAAAATAACGTGTGTAACGAGAATCAGTAAAGAAATAATCACTATTATCTTTAGCCCCACGGTGGGCGCCAAACTGTTTACCTCGAAAATACGAGTAAGAATTAAATTTGATTTGTGATTTTAAAGGTATGTGATTTAGTTCAATACCAATTAGTAATCAATAAATATAAAGTAGAAATGAAGGAAATAAGTGAATTAAACCAATGTTACTCAGCAGTGGTGACCTCGAGATGAACTAAAAGTAAATAAAGAACAATAAATGTAAGGGACACTTCTGACGAGCAGTAAGAGAGAAAAGTAGGATAGTATATTCTTTTGCCAATGATTAGATTATGTTACAAATGATTGGGGTCCCCTTATATAATAAGGGAACCTTAAATAAGGTACATTCCTATTTACAATAAGGAATATTATCGGCACAACTGTCTAAACGCTTAGTACGGAATCGTACAATCCTATTCCGGGATTTGCGCCATGATCTTGGGGACGTGGCAGGAATCTAGCTTATTATGTTACAAATCCATAATGGTACAACTTCGGGATCGAGCATACTTAACTTCGGTATTCCTCGCACTCCTATCTTCGGGCGTTGCATTTCGTCCTCGAGCTCGGGTCTAGTCTGTCGACCTCGAACTCGAGCTTACTTGAACTCGGACCTAAGACGATCCCTCGAGCCTGGGAAATCGGGCATGCCTGATTTCGACCGTATACACACATGTTAAAAGCAAGAAAGTAACACGTGGCTAATTTATTAGCTTGTTTGGACAACTTGAATTTATTCCACCGCAAACTATATCTAATATACTACTATAGGGTCTTCCGCTACTTTTGTTGTTATTTCTCTCATCTGTTATTACGCCAAGCTTCTCCAAAGTCAAAAATACTTTTTTTAATATAAAAAAGTGCTTTACTTTTGAGTGTTTGGCCATACTTTTAGAAAAAAAGTATTTTTGAGTAGAAACAAAAGCAGTTGTAGAGAAGCAGAAAAAAGTAGTTACTCCCCAAAAGTATTTTTTTGAAAAGCACTTTTGAGAAAATACACTTGAAAATACTTTTTAAAAGCTTGGCCACACGACTTGTTGTTCAGAAGTGATATTCCAGTTAATTAGTCAAACACAAACTGCTTCTCACCAGAAGTATACCTAATATATTATTCCACCGTAAATTATACCAACTCTCATTCCAAGATGCCATGCCAACAAAGATAGTAAAATATTAAACTAAGATAAAAATAAAAAATAAAAACTTGAGTAGACAAAAAGTAAAAATCTAATCTAGTAGAATAGTTAATTTCTAAGTCCTTGGCAACGGGGCCAAAAACTTGTTGCTCCCAAACGCACACGCAAGTATACGTGGTCGTACAAGTAATATAGGATTGTAATTCCAGATATCGTACTCACATGGACTTGTGATTAACTATCAACTAAATTAAACTAAACAATTAATCTATTCAAGCGAATCCTAACGTATGAAAATTTAACTCAAACTAATCTAGAGTAACAAATTAAAAGATTAAAGAAAACAACGACAAACTTAAACACGAATTCAATGTGAGTGAATATTCTAGAGTTATGGGTTAGCTAACAATCCCGTTGAGTTTTTCACTTAAATCGTCTAATTAAATTATCTGGTTTATTGGTTGACAGGGTTAATATTGCTCGTAGCCTTCTCCTGAAGTACTACTCGCCTATTCAAGCTAATCTAACCCCTATATCCTATGGAATTAGAATTAACAAGAACGCATTAATGATTCCTGTATAGTAACCAAGCAAGGCGATTAGGTATATTCCTATCCTAACCGCAAATCCGTCCCCTATCCCCCCCCCCCCCTCCCCCAGAGTTAAGATCTTGCTCTACTCAATCTTATATGCAATCTAGAATTCCCTCTTCCGAGTTCAATCCTAGATTCATAAATAGTATTCAATTGGTGATCAAGTAATCAAATAATTAAGCGCAAGATTGAATAAATAAACTAATATGATAAAATAATAAGAACAATTCAAGCTTCAAACTACAATGTTCATGCATCACCCAAAATTCTCTAGAACAAATAAACAATGAGATTAAAGGAAGAGAAGAGAAGAAAAACTAGTTAGAAGCCTCCTCCAAGCGTGATGTTCTTCCTCCGGTCGCAAAACTCCTTCAAAGTGTGTTAGATGTCCTCCAAATTAGGTTTAGACTTGCTTTTATATGAGTTGGGGGGTCTTGGGCCAAAAATAACCTTGTTCCGAGCAAACTTGGATAAGATCCCGTCACCAACGTCCAGGGTAGCGTGGGGCGTTGGCCCTGGCGCTGGTTATTTCACCTTTCTGCCTGGGGCGCAACAGGTGGCGTGGGGCGATGCTTGTGGCGCCGAAAATAGAATTTTCTTTTTTTCGTCCGTTTTGGCTCTAATCTTGCACCTTTCGCCCCCAATTGCTCCCAGATCATTCCTACACATAAAAACACCTCGAATTAATATAAATCAACATATTTTACATCCTAAATCCACGAAACAAGAGTAAAACATGAGGCGATATACACATAAATATATATATACTTTAAGCTAAATATCAAACAATTGTATAGTATTGGCAAACAATTGTATAGTATTGGTCAAGTCTGCATGTTCATAAATGTAACGTTTGGATAGCTCTGTGAAGATACAATATGGAAATTATAGTAAAAGATTTGGATATTGGGACCAAAAAAAATAATGAGACTTTTTTGAGCTTGACTCAAACGAGTTCTAATATCTAACACATGCATGGGGACGCGGGCAGGAATAGAGTTAGAAGGTTATGTATGAATTTGGCAAACTCACTAGTTGGTCCAAATTTTATATTTGTATAAATAGTTAGTAACAGTCGCTATCTTAATATTGAGAATCCGTAAAGTTTAAATTCTGACTCCACCGTTAAATGTGAGAGACGTTCAGGAATTCTTTCATTTCTAGATCAAAATTCGAAACTTCTTTTATGAATAAAGAGATCACATCCATTCCACTATAACGCGCTAATTTTTTTAAAACTCGTTTTTGGCTATCTTTCTTCTAATTAAGTTTGTCAACTTCTAATTTTTCAACTCATTTTGCTATCTTCCTCCTCATCTACTAACAGGCAGAGACGTCTTCATGTAAGACTTCTTATCCTCATCTACTGCTGACTCACATTGCTATATATCCTTCTAACCCTATGCGTCTATTATCCAAAAACATGAAAGATTTAATCAGAATTTTATTGCTATTATAGTTATTTTGTATACATAAATTTCGTTTCGCATCAAAAGTTCGGATTCAGATGAACCCAATGCCTCAAAGCTCCATCTGACTTGGACTTAGACATTAAAAAAAGATATTCCAGTACACTAAGCTCCCGTTATGCACGGATTCGGGGAAGGCCAGATCAAAAGAGTCTATTATACATAGCCCCCGGCGCGAGTGTCACGTACGGTTCCTTTGAGAAGGGTGTGATACCACCACCTATCAGGCCCGACGAGCGGTCCACGGAGCTGCATCCCTACTCACCTGGTCTATGCACATCGCTCTCTCCAGGAGGTTGGCCGCCTATCCTAGATCTTCCCATTTCCAAGAAGATCCCGGGCTGGTTTCGGAAAAGGCCGGACCACAAGGGTCTATTGGACTTAAACACCCCATCATATATATATATATATATATATGCTAAGGTTGCTACAATTGCATTTCTCGACAAAGTTCCCTCTACTTCTACTACAGGTATGTTTTCTACTTTTTAGTTTTAATTACCATCTGGAAAATAACTACTCCCCAGAAAAAAAATACTAACATAATACCTACTATAGAGTTTAGTCTTAGTTTTACTTTATATTAAAAGGAAAAACGTTTTAATTACGGTAGACGTTTATTATGTTGGAATTATATGAAAAGATAATTTTTAGCTTTGAAAAAAGGTATAATTATTATGTTAAATGTTCATTTACTTTTTAAATAATATAATCCTCAACAATATTGATGAATAAATGATAATAACACGGTTAAAACTGCTTTCTTTCAACGATTAGATTTGATACACATAATTGTTGAATTGTTAAAAAGAAATCTAATTGAATATAGAAGCCTATTTCGAGGTCTTATAAAGACACAAACAAGACAGGAAAGCAAACTAACCTAGGAAAATAACTAAGGAAAAAATAGAAGAATTAACCAAATAGCCGCCCTCCTAGCCGTTTATATATATATATA